AGGGTGTAACATGTTAGGACAATAGCAGTAACAGGTTGAAGAATGCTGTTGTTTCTGCTATAATATACGAAATAGTAAACTTCTATAATGATTGAACGGAAGTAAGAGGGGGCATTGGTGCTACGAACCTTCGAATAATACACGCTCGTCAACATGAGTTTAATTTATTATAAAAACAATATAATTCTAAATTAACATATTTTGTGCTGCCGGATTAATATACACGCACCAGCGTTTTATTATTTTTGGTTAGTTCAGTTGGATTCCGACAGCATACAGTATGACAACTTCGAAAACTGGGACAAAAATACATGAAATACGGCACTCAAACTAGGATTCGAGAACTCTCCGTGAAAGCTGAGGCTGCAAAAAAAAAAATAAAGGAAAAGGGAAGGACTTTTTCACTTTTCGGTGGAGACCAGCCGTGTACTGAATGTATATTTTCCAAACAGCAGTAGGAAATTTTTCAAAGGAACGTAGTGACAATGACATGACACTTTAAAAAGTAAATATTGAGAATAGTTACAAGTTAACATTTGATTGAGCTTTTTAAAACGTAAATTCCATTCTGAAGTTTAAATAAGCTACTTTAATTCTAAAACATAAGATATCAACTGTAATAATGTCCAACCGATTTTGATGAAAGGTCTCCCTCACGAGGGGTATTATCAACAGATGGCTTTAAAATACGCGATTTAGAAGATCAGACACTGGGCATAAATATTTGGATATGTTTGGACCGCCGAAAGTCTCCTTTAATATTTGTATGTTATTGCGACAATACGTTCTGAAAAGATAAAAATGCTCTTCGTCGTTTTATTTGGTGCTTTTACCGGCAGGTGTTCAAACAGGAATGCGACATAGTGCAGAACGCTTTAGTAAGCTACTAATTATTTTTTTGATAAACCTGTGATTCATCTATGGAAAAGACAACGTTTCATTTATTACGTTAACTGGAATCGATGATGTATTGAATTGCTTGATGTACTATCTTGCATAAAACTAGCCTTATTTCAAAACGACCCAACAAACTAAAAGTACGCGATATTTCTATTCGTCGATTTAAATTTTTGCTTACCTTGTGGCATTTATCGAAGCACCAATTTAAAGGATTTTGCATTTTAGCTTTTTGCAAACACCTTAACATATAAGAAAAGCCAGAAGCTTGTGTTTCCGTCCTTATAATAACATGTAGGTCAACATCAGAATCTTCAAAGGCAAAGACTGAATTTATTTCTGTTTAATTCAAAACCAATTGGCTTACAACTGAAGGGACAGAAATATACGCCTTTATTAATTCTTTAAAACAAATATATTTAAAAACCCATACTCTTACGACACAAATGTTGTTGTTTTTTTTTAAATTTTGCAATTTGTGAGAAAGAAATCAGGCTATCCGCCAAGAATTTCTTAAACACTTGAACCTTCGTTTCATCGTGAGACACAGAAAATATCTCCCTTGTCATTATTGTGTTTGAAAGGGCTGCCTACCCCGCTCACGTAGATGGTGTTACACATATTTTATGATTAATAAAGATAAAGAACTGAAAAGGGAATTAAAAAAAAACTTTTTTTAGTAGTGTCAATTTAAAAATGACCTTTGCGTTTTACAGTTTTTGTGCAGGAAACGGAACAAAAAGAAACAAAAATAGAAAAAACATAATATTTAATGTAGACTATACTTTTTTTTACTGTAATTAAGAGTTCGGTACACAAAAAGTTATCAATGAGAGGAGCAATTTAATTTTCTGATCTGATTGTTGCTGTTATTGTTATTGACGTAGTTGTTGGTCATGTGCATTTAATAATCCATTTTTCTATGTTATTAATTACGATTTTTTGCTAGTATTTACTAAGCATTTTATTATATTTTTTATCCTCTGATTGATACATACTTTAACGTAAGCCTACATCATTGATATTGGTTTGTTCATTTTACACAGAATTGTGTGTTATTATGCATTGTTATCAGAATAGGAGAAATAGGTGGTAAGTCTTAAATTTTAAAACCCTTTTTTTTTAAAAAAAAATGGACATGCCAGAATACGACCCTGGGACATACCTCGTCTAACTTCAGCTTTTGTATTTGGCTATATACCTTTGAGAGTTGAAGCATTGTGTCTATCTTCTCTCTGTGAAAACAGAGTACGCAGCTTGAATATTGACGTGTATGCAATCGCTCTGCTGTTAACCCAATTACAGAATTCAACAAGACCTGTATTGAATTATCTCTTTCCATATACTATCAGCATTAGCCTAATTAAAAGCTATAAAGTCTGATATAATGATTAAATCGTTAGCTGTGCTGTAGGGAAAGAATATTTTGTTTTCCCTTCAATTAGTAGTTGATTGAGGTTTTCAGAATAGGTCAGCTGTGAAATTTGAATTATATGTGTGAGTATTGCTCACAGGGTGAGCTCTTATTCCAAGGCTCTAGAGTTTTGAATGTTTTGAAAACTAAATTAATTTGCGTCATTATTCCAAAATGTAAAATCTATTAACCAGACTGCGTTGCTGACATGCATAGCAAACATTCATTGAAAGGGGTCTATAAGAAAATCAAATCTAAAAATGCAGAAAGAGTAAGAGGTGAGTGTAGATATTGTCCCAGCAGGCCTTACACTTTTATTATGTTTTGGTCTCCGCGCGAATTCATGTGTGTATATGTTTCGGTTTTACTTTTTTTTATCTAGTCATAGGTTACTATACACCCTTAATTGTGTTATTGCTGTTCCAGATTTGTCTTCCTGTGATACATAATTCTTATTGGACATATGAAAGTTAATTCTGATTTTTTTTTTATTAGCTTTTAAAATAGTGAGTATCTGTAACACATCAGGCAGTTCTCTTTTCGAAGGGAGTTGAATTCTGTCCTTGGTTAAGAGAGCTGTCTTTCAGCACCATCAGTCACTAACCATATTTACAGCCAGCAGACGGCGATCAAACTCTGCCACAATTCTGCGAAGCTAGAAAAAGTAGTTTGATATTTCACTTTCAAATTATGCTTTTACCTCCTAAATCAGCCAGTCTCCTGGTGATACCAAATAGCTTTCTCGTGAATATTTTGGCTACTGGCAGCTTGCAATTAATTTGATGTTAGCTGGAGGGTTGACACTTGGAACTTGGATGAGCTCTGCGGATTTCTAGCTATGCAGAGTTACCGGCCACAGAGAATTGCTTTAAAAAAAAGAATTAAGTGTGAATTGCCGAGATTCACTTGAATTTAATTATTTTGTTTGTCTGGTTAAATCCATTCCAGCTACCGCACAAACAAATTTAGAATTTGTTTGATTTTCTTCTGTATCTTTGTTCTCCTCATCAGAACGGACGCGGACTTCTGTCATTTATCTGGAGGATTTCCAGTTGCGGCTTCATTACAAAGACATCCTGCAGAAAATTCTTAAACCGAGAAGCTGCGATTTGCTTGCTGTGCTCGTTAATCATATCAGAAATCACGTAATGTCCTAAATCTGCAGATCTCGAAAATTAAGCAGCTATTACCCGTACCGTGGTCCGTACATAGTTGTTAATATATATATATATTATGTTGCCAATCACGTGCTTCTTTACAACACATACACACGTGTGTGTGCATACGGGAGACATAAACACAAGTAGTCACATTGCTTTTGGAAAGCACCATAATATGCATTGAGCTCCACTATTATTTTAGCATTCCCATTCAAAGCTTGAATGCGGAGTTGCTGGACAAAAGAGGCTCGCCTGGCACGTGCTGTAGGCGTCAGTCACCTGTTCCTAAGCAACCTTCACAACAAGACGCACCTGTAGCGCCAATTAAAAACTGAAAAGACCCCTTACTTGTTATGAGGAAAAAAAAAAGGAAACTAAAGAAAGAAACTAATTGTTTTTTTTTATTAAGGTGCGGACGTTACCTTATGGATTATCTATGTACGATACAAGAATGTCCCCACATTTAAAGTCTCCTTAAAGTGTCACGCATTCATTCATTTTATATTGCTCAGATGTGAGGTTAATAAATTCGTAGCATCTGAGCAGGTTTGGAATCCTAAAGCGAACCGGGCTATTCACACGTTATAAGGACTGGAATTCAAAGAGTTTAATGATACAACAACGTAGTATTAAAATCTGATAGGCTTGTGTATGGGTGTTGTCTATATTTACTTTTCGTTATTTGTCTGCACCTATATCCAAATAACGCAGCACCAGCAAGATGTACATGCCATGTGCCAAAATGCAGATCCTTGAATGGTGTGTGAACAACTCGCAAATAAATAAGGCGGACTGAATAAAATGAAAACCCACTCCGTCAGCATTTTATACCCAAAGTAAAGAAAAAGGGCTGGAGCACTCAAATGATGATACAGTCATAAAGACATTCAGCGAAGTATTATCACGTTAAAAAAAACAGAAAAGGATGTCTAAATATCGAGTGAGATTATAAATAAAACTTAGATGATGTACAATTTATCAATAGCCGAAAAACCAAATGCAAACAAATCGGATTTAGAGTGTGAAATAGGGTGTTGGAATGCTATTATGTTTCTTGTCAGTATGGTGAAGTGATTCTTTTCCAAACACACAAAAAAACATGGGCGTTTCCAATTTAAGTACTGTGTAATTCATAAAATCCACCTAAAACGTTCTGTGCTAAACCCCGCGTTAGCATTTTCACAGTTAATATTTTATTTTAAAATACAACACAACGTGCGTTCGTCTCAGTAGACCTGTTGGACACCATTATTAATTCGCAAAGTAAAACCTTATGACACGTTTCATCTACCATTATCTTGAAATGATACTCGGCTAAGGGCGTGAGTACATCCACTGTGGACATATTGCGAGATCGGAAAGTGCCCGGGCGACAGTAGCCTGCGGATTTATGATCTCTGTTGGCAATAAGATGCAGCCTCAGGGCCAGCAAATTATATAAAATTATATATTTTTTGTTATTGTTGTTGTTGGGGCAAACTTATCCTAAATGGTTTATTGCTATTTACCTTCCGCGTAAGAGGCGGAGGTGAGCCCCCTGTCACACCCCGCCTACTAGTTAGTTCTCACTTCTTTACGTCACCTGACTGCGCGCCATGCAAATCACACCGTTTCTAAAACGCCATTGGCCGCCTCCAGCTCATTTAATCCCTGTCAAACCGCATCATATGGCTGCTGCTCTATTAACTTCTCTACTCCGTCAGAGAAAGTAGCTCAAAGACGCTTTTCATCACTCTGGATGTGAAAAGCAAGTGGAGGAGAAAAAAAAAGAAAGCTCTGGGGGGAAAAAAAAGTCCAAAGACGGTTTGATTATCATTCTGGATTATATTACTTTTTTTTGCCGTTTTCAAGGGGGTTTGTGTGGTAGTTTAGCTGGACTTTAGCGCCGAAGCTGAATGTTCATCTGTATTGGTTGAAAAGTTAAAGCCAGGTGAATGTATAGCATGATGATGGAGACGGACTTGCACTCTCCAGGACCCCAGACTAACGCGAATTCGGGGCAAACTGGGCCAAATAGCGGGAACAAATCTAACCAAGACCGAGTCAAGAGACCGATGAACGCGTTTATGGTTTGGTCCCGGGGCCAGAGGAGAAAGATGGCTCAAGAGAACCCCAAGATGCACAACTCCGAAATCAGCAAGAGGTTGGGCGCGGAATGGAAAGTCATGTCCGAGGCTGAAAAAAGACCCTTTATCGATGAAGCAAAGAGGCTGAGAGCCATGCACATGAAAGAACACCCGGATTACAAGTACCGACCCCGGAGGAAGACCAAGACGCTGCTCAAAAAGGACAAATATTCTTTGGCTGGTGGTCTGCTGGCCGCTGGGGCTGGCAGCGGAGGTGGAGTCGGACTGGGGGTCGGGATGAGCCCAGCGGGGGTCGGGCAGAGGTTAGAGAGTCCCGGGAGTCACGGTGGCACGGCAAACGCCGGGTACGCGCACATGAACGGCTGGGCGAACGGCGCCTACTCGGGCCCCGTGGCAGCGGCCGCGGCCGCGGCAGCAATGATGCAAGAGGCTCAGCTAGCCTACAGCCAGCACCCAGGCAGCGGGGCGCATCACCACCACGCTCACCACCACCACCCGCATAACCCGCAGCCCATGCACCGCTACGACATGACCGCGCTCCAGTACAGCCCGATCTCGAACTCTCAGAGCTACATGAGCGCCTCTCCTTCAGGATATGGGGGGATCTCCTACACGCAGCATCAAAACTCAAGTGTCGCTTCGTCCGGGGCTATCGGCACCTTGGGGTCGCTGGTGAAATCAGAACCAAGTGTAAGCCCTCCTGTTACCAGTCATTCTAGAGCTCCGTGTCCCGGGGACCTACGGGAAATGATAAGCATGTATTTGCCGACGGGAGAAGCAGGTGACCCGTCAGTCCAAAATAGACTTCACGCACTGCCCCAGCACTATCAGAGCACCACTACAGGGGTAAATGGAACGGTTCCATTAACACATATTTAAAAACTGCAACAAGCTTACAAATTCACATAACCAAATATTTACCTCTTTTTTAGATTGTCACTGAACTACCTTTTGTACAGACTGTTTTTGATGTTGTACATTGAAGGTAAATATTGTTTTGATTGCCTTTTAGAAACGAGAGAGAGAGAGCGATATTACGCATACACGAGTTTTAGAATGAGTTAATGTTTTATAATTTTGTCCACATTTAAGGGATAATTGTTCATTTGTGTTCACATACTAGGCGATGCCAAGCTTTGAAACAAATGTGGTATTCCTAATATCACTGTTATTTAAGTCACCAGGATATTTTTTTTCCTTTCTGTGCAAAATGACAGAAGTTTTAAGAAATAACAAAAGTAACTCATGGCCTCCGAGCTATGTAAAATAAATTAAACAAGACAAATGTTAAAGTTCATGAGGCAATTTCTTTTCCATTGGACATATATTCAGACGTTTGTAAAAATGTGAGTTTCTGTATCTGAAACATTTCTTTTTTGTTGTAATATTTCTTGTAAATTGTGAAATAATTTTTAATATTCTAGAACCTGACAAGAGACTACGACTGTGTAAATAGTTTACTAAATGCATTTCTGCCACAAAAAGAAAATCCTGACATTGCGTTGAATTATGAGTTAAATAAATTTTACAAACATGTTGCCCTGATTCTGAAAAAACAGCGACGTTTTTGTGTTTAGTTTCATTTTTGATGTCTTACCTATAAATACAATAATTACCTATTTTAAAAGATGTGACTTTTTTATTCATCGGAGCAATTGAAATTAACAGAAACGCGTATTTAGTTAAGACCGGGTGCCTAATAGTTATTGATGAAGTGTAATTTACACAGACGGTATTTAACATCTGCCACGCTCTGTGTGACTTTTGCATTTCATTAAAAGTTAAAAGTTTTTAACTGAATCGAACCTTGTTCCAGAACTTATTGTGAAAAGTGAGCTTTACTGTATGACGAAAGCACGCATCAACTGAAATATTTAGTGACCTAAACATGTGACTTAGCAAATCGTAAATACCTGTAAATACTGATTAATTAATAATGACAAACGTAAGTGCTACACACTAGAGGAAAAAACACTTTGGTACTTGCATTGACAAATGATATATAACAGTTACGTCCTGTTGCTCTGAGTGAAAATGAGTGAATAAAGACAGACAATATTTTTATGAGAGAATCATATCTTTCTATTTTTAAAGTGTGTAAACAGACACTCATAAATTATTAAAGAGAGAGTGAGTGCAAAATGCTAAACGCGTCAGGACAATAATTTTTAAAAAGGGAAAGCAGAATTAGAAGGCCTCAGAGTGAACTTAAATTGCACTCTTTTTTAAGCTGTATCGCAAGCAAAACACTTTTCCTCCCCCAAATAACGTTATTCTTTTACACTTTTTCTACGCACTTTCCCTTATTTGAATTGTATTGCTATTTATTTTGTCACATTATTCATTTTAGAGAAAATACCCACGTAAGCAGTATTACATGTTTTTTTTTTATTCTTGTAATTTCCTTATTGTTTTAAAAAATGTTTTATAGTAATGTGTCGTCATTTTTAATGAAAGGTATTATTATTAATAACAACCAAGTTTTTTTTAATTCCACCTGCCCGTACAGAAATATGTTTTTCTTTTAGAAATATTATAATGTGACCGATTCTACATATTGAAGTGATGCAAAATATGGAATGTCTGTTACTGTCCTTTAATAATACATTTTAATGTTTTATTTTAGTATCTAAAGAAAAAGACGCCCATGTCATGGTAGTGCACTTTTGGAGGGAAACAAGACACATTTGAGCACCTGTTGAGTTATCGTTTTCGTCAAATTTTTGAAGTGAGGAATTTCGACACCTTTTAATGACGTTATAAATCCGAAATTTAATATTTTGTGAATAAAAAGAAAAAAAATGTTTCGTCAGTTCAGGCGGAGAGGAAACTTATAACGGCCATTTGCAAAATGTGAAGACGGTCGTCCTCAACGCCAACAAAATGTTTACAATTTTTCAAGATTTTCTGCTGACTAAATCAACGACTATTATCACTAACGCAAAGATGTTGTTACTTGTTGATTACCTATATATCTTTTTCGTTGAAATGTAAAGTTTGTTTGTAAAGCAAATGACTCAATGTACTGAAAGTGTCATCAGCAATGTGTTTATTTATGATTCTAAATCCTACCATTAGTATTTATTTCAAAGTGAACCTCTACATATGTATTAATTTCAGTAACACATTATTTTTAAAATGCAGTATTTTGACATTTATAATGTTTCATATTTTCAAAATCCTATTGATTTCTGGTTATTGAGGAACTTTGATTAACTAGCCTTCAACAAATAATAATGTTATAGTAATTTTTCGTGTTTTTTTAACCGAACAAGGGCATGGGGAATAAAATCAAGGTAAGCTTTTAAGAAAGGGTGTCTGAATTGTATAAACACATAGACTGACAAACTGCTTAAATTATATTAAAGACTTAGACGGAATAAACAATAAATAAAAGTAGCGTTTCTGTGATGTTCTACTTTTTTCTGCAACTTCACTCTTGAAATTTTTAAATGTTAACAAGGCTCCGGCATAATTTCCAAGTGGACCAGTTTAAATACGACGGGGAGGGTTTGGATAAAAAACTCGACTGTTGTCTGTGCACGTTTGGCTAACTTTCATGTAGAAAATACCAGATATCATGCGACAGCACCACGTCTGTAGCACTTCATTGAATTTCCCCGTTAAAGCGTAAGAGAACACGAACCTAAAGATGGATTTCAACCCGAAGACTTAAAACAAGCCTGCCGGAAAATGAATAAAATGTAGTTGTGAATTGAAGTGATTTGTCCACTAATGGTCATTTAATAGTTTTAGAGGGAAAAAAAGTATTGATTCAGCCGACACTCTCTTCGCGTGTTAGTCATCGGTCATCTACAACCTTTCGCATAATCAAAAGTGTATTAATTTGGAATAGGTAAACGTAATCCCTGTAAGTAAGTGGTCAACGTTTATGTCTTGGGTAATAGGCAATATAAAAAAAAAACTACGATTCGGCTGTTTGCTTGTTTTGGAAGTACAGGTCAAAGTGCACGCCCTGCTGCCTTGATCTCTATACAAAGAATTTACAATTGAATACCAAGTGCTTTAGATACAAAGGAAATCACATTATTCATTGGTCGATGGACTCTATGCGGATCCCTCCACCGAGTAGAGGCGCACACAGGCATATGTTTTAATACGCTTTTCCACTTCAGCTCACTAAATCCGTCTTCACTGAACCCCGAGTGCCTTGGAATTAATTATTTGATGTGTGCAAAATACAACAGTGACCGAAATGTAATATGTGTATAAATGAGGGATTATGGTGAGTCGTCATCAACGAGTTGAATTAACATCGGTACCCCGACTTTCCCTCAATTTTGTTGTCTTTTAATTTTAGTACAAGGTAGGCCCGACAGCATATACATTTAACGACCGAACGGCGATGCCGTCAGGAGAATTTCTGCTCTGACTGTTATGTGTCAGCAGGGATTAAGATGAATGAGATGAGTAGTGAAGAGTGTTTTTTTGTGTCAGGGAGAATAGGATTAGACAGGAGAAGGACTAACCTCGGGGTCAGCGGCAAGTCAAACTCTTTCACAATTACAGACCGGAACAGTGACGTCACCCTCGAGTACTTCAGCAACAAGTGGGACTGATGGGCCTCCAGGTCTGAAGTCTGAGAGCGCTTGTGCTCCGCTGTCTAAATTATTTTCACCCATTATTCAACATTAGTTTCGGAATGTTTCTGCTTTTTAATGTTCACAAGCTTTAAGCACTTTATGTCTGAAGATGCAGTAAGTGCAAAAATTAAGAGTGCTTTTACAGAACGTTTTATGCAACACAAATGCAGTTCTAAATACACAAACCGTACATTTGATAAAATACAGCGTGTTGTAGCGTGCTAAAGAGTTGTGAAAGACAGGTGGAAAAACACAGACTTTAACACTAATACTACACTAGAGATTTTGTGATTTCAGAAGAGATAGCGGGAAAAGTCTTAAGAAAACTCACCATTCTCTCAAAACATTTCCGTTGTAATTAACAACCCCTACGAACATTTCAAGCCTGAGCACAATTTTGAAATGGTTATTTTAGGGAACATCACCACGCTTTCCTTTCTGCTGGTAAGCCAGAGACAGCGGGTCTCCATTTATAGCTGGAAGTATAACTGTAATCATAATGTAAGCAGATCCATACCCGTAATTGTACATGCTGAAGCTAATATTCGAATACCCGATTAGACTATACTAACTGTTCAGTGTAGTGTAGTTCGCCTTGATTGATTGTAATAAAGATTGACTGTTGCGTTTAAGTGATGTACCTCGTCAACTGATTCACTACTGGTATTCATTCTGACTAGCATCGCTTAAAAAGTCCTGATGTCCAACTTTTCCGCAGTAAATTGCTGCTATAAGTCCTTTTTCCACCTGATGCTCTTCTTTCCTTCTGACATCGAAATTTAAAGGGGTTGCCTACCCGGCGGGTGTTTGTATCTTATCAGCTGATGTAAAGCTACATGGATTTGCATTGAGAAACACAAAGAAGGGGCAAGTCATGGCACATTGCCAAATAAAAGAGAAATGTTCTGGTAAATTTCACCTAAATAATTTAGTACTCAATAAAAGTGGAAAAGTGGGAGGTGAACCTTCTGACCAATAAATCTCTTCTGCATGTGATACTCTTATCTTGTAGGCGCAAATATATGCCGCAATAGGAAACCATCACCATTGGCTCATATTTGCTATTTGCAAACCCCGATCTCTTGCACTCGGTGTCCTAAATGTGGATAATTAGCATCAGTTTATCACGCCTCTGCATATTTTCTCTTCTCTCCAAAAATGCACACTGCTATTGGTTGCCATTCTGTCACAGAAGATTACGGAGACAGATTGCACAGAACGAATGTGCTGAACGAGATTAGAAAGGAATAGAAATAGCAACTGGGCCAATAAATTCCTCATGAGAGCCTTATCATGCAATTACACGTTGACATGTTTAACAATCTTGCAGCCTCTTAATCCATCGCCCTTCCAAGAGTAAAAATTCAGTGCCATAATATCTGCTGTATATTCTTACAGTAATTTAAGCACCAAAACGCTGTTGTAAATTCAGACTACACAGAAACATAAAAAAACTTCCTGAAACTTTTTCCATGTTTTTTGTTCTCTGCACATTGTTATGTTTGTACAACCGAGCACATTAAACCTATAACTGTCGTTCTGATCTCATTATTCCTACTACCATGACCTCTACTAATAAAACTAAAAACTTGCACACCCGAAGTAAATTAAAATGACTCCTTATCTACTTTTCTTTCTGTATTGGACCGGATTCGGTATCTATTTTCAGACCGGCCTCACGATTTCGACACAGAAAACCGAGATGTGTTGCAGGGTTTTCGGACAAGTGCCCGAATAGCGTTCATCTCTCTTCCTACAAACCTCGAACGTTAAAATGAATAAAGCTGTCGCCAGCGGAGTGCTTTCAAACTAAACAAACTGGGAGTTTGAAGAAGAACTCGTAAAATAATATTGTCGTGCTTTACTCAAAGCAAGTGGATTGCCTTGTTTGATTTACAATTACCGTATTACTCCGTGAATTATTAAACGTAGGCTTGACTTCAGCGTTTGTTAAAAAGAGTTCTTATTTAACTCCCCCCCCCCCGCACACACACACCACCACCACCACCCCCGCTCTGTGTCTGAGGATGCGAAGTCTGTATGAGAGTGATTGTGAACGTCTCTGCTGGAATTTGGCACGGCCGAGGCTTGGAGAGCAGCCCCATGCTGACTCCCATTCAGCCGGCCAGCTCTCTGTGAGGTTGGAAAGTTTCACTGAGCCGTGCACTCAATGGCTTCACAAAGCTGATTACAAGCTTCAGCGAATTCCTGAAGGAACCGAGAAGCAACGCAGGTGCAAAGGAGCCGAAGGAGTCCTTGATAGCAGTGACAGAATGGGACAAGCCGGGAAACGCTGGGACCACACAAATCCAAACACTCTCTAGGAAGCGACCGAGCCTTGGGAAAAAAAAAACCCATCATGGGCACGTTGTTTTATTTTTGACCAAGGAAGAGACATACGCCAGTTTTAAAACTAAAACGAAGAATAATACAGTAGACATACTGTACTTGTCAACTGGTGACTGCAAGTTCTCAGGCATTGCTTTATGTTGTCGATTACCTATGCCGGTGCCTCATACTGGCATCACACTGAAGTGCGACCAACTGCAAGCGAGATTAAATCTTCCACCAGAGAAAATCCTTGGGAGGGAAAAGATGTGCTTGTATTGTGAATAGGACACCACAGCATCCCTTTCCGATAAACCTGTTTTCCTCTTCAGAGAGGGCTTGCACAAACTCATCAACTTAAAAAAAATAGTTCTGTCAGTGCCGCGCAAGACATGATTTGTGGTCTGCACCCCCCACCCCCATACACACACCTTTATCCTTCCCTCTCTCCAGTACAGAAGGGGTTCGGTATAAAAAAACAAAAAAAACAAAACAGAAACAAA